AGCACTGCGTGAACAAATCAGCAGCGCAGCTGGAGGTCATTCCCGGCAGAGATGAGCTAAATATGCGATGAGTTGTACAGTATTTTCATTCCTTGACGATGGGCTCGCGTGAGAGTTCGAAACGTCGGACAAATAAACCACTGGTCCCAGCGATCGCCTTCCCGTTTTCTTCTATGCAATTACCTGGGCCGCGCGTATTCTCTATCATTCGGAATTGTGTGTAATATATCCCGGGTCGCTGACATTCTGGATGTCCACTTTTTAATTGAGGAGAAAGGAAACAACCGGCCGGCCTTTCTGGCTGTCCTCGTCTGCCGCGAATATTTTAGTTGCCTAAAAACCCAATTGGGTAAGATCGCAGTTGGTACTGAGAAGTGTAATGACATGGTACAGCCGGCGTTGTTCTGCCGTAGGTTTTCGTGGAGCCACATGTGTCCGAATAGTTCCATGCAACGACCGATCGCTCTAGACTAGTGTGGGCAGTGGAGGCGATGCCCTTGGGTGTATGTTGATGTTCATTGGCCCGTGGGTGATGGAGCGTCATGTGTGTGGTGAATGCGCGGTGGCAGTGTGAGCAGAACAGGTAGCGGAATTTTGGGTCGGTGTTCGTTATGATGCTGCTATTGCCGATAGGCACAGAACGGAACTAGGGCTCTGTGGCATTCTCCCACTAGACTTTTCATCTGGCCAATCACATTCAATGCCGAGTCAGACGTGCGTTGGCTTAAGACGCTTGGACGCATTCCCTGACGCACGCACACACTTGGGACGCCTCTGTCCCTGCACAAACTCCTCCCAATCACTTCTCCAGTTGTTTTGTACAGAATATACAATCCTCTCAGCTGATGTCCATATTTTCTTTCCATTTAGGATCGGGTCTGAAGATCGTGGTGCCCAGGGTCCCACTGTCGGCTTAGGCATTTTGAGATGCTGGTGATGCGGGATGTTGTAGGTGTCCATGTGTGGTGCATGCGTCGATGGGAGAATGTGTGTTGCGGTGGTCTAGTCTGCAGTGATTGACCGCGGGTGTTAAGGTGTGGTTATGTAGCCGCACCTGATGGACACAATGCTGTTGACCTACTTAATTATTTTGAGTTGGTGTGAGTAGTGTTGCTGCGCGCTGCGGTGTGTGATCTTTAGGCGGCCTTGATTTTTTGTTGTCGTGTCTAACTAGTTCTGCTCATTGCCGGTGGTCTTTCTTGAGTTTCGGTCTGTCGTCTCCTAACTTCCGCGTTAAATGTTTCGTGTTAGGGTTTAGGGCTGCGTTTAGGGTTAGTGTTAGGGCCTAGCGTTAAGGTTTAGTGTTAGGGGGCTAGAACTTTCTGTTAGGGTTAGAAGTTGTGCTTTGGGGTTAGGGCAACTATTTCTCAACCATTTCAAGTACAAGCGCGCATTCTCAAAAGCTTTTCTTTCGCATACAATTACCTGACTCCTCGTTTGGGCGTTCTCCGGCCCCACCTTTAAAAACCCCTATTATCACCGGTCCCATATTACAGGCTACTGGGGTTGGTTTTCCTCAGTTGCGGCTACATAACCGCATCTGACCCCGCAGGTTTTCACAGATACGCTTGTTGCCTAACAGACCCATGCGATGTGTGAATGTACGCGGGCATTGTGGACGGTGGAGGACGATGCGGCGAGTGTATCTTGGGAATCTAAGCACTGGTTCGCCAGCCTCCCAGTGAGGACAGACTAGGACCGAGTCCAAATCTCTGCATGAGGAAGTGAAGATGGTGAGGGTGGTGGTTTACGGGGCGTTGGGAGTAATCTGCCCGGTGATGGGAGTGGGAACTGTGGTGGTCGCTACCGTCACGAGGTTTGTGACGGGGATGGTTGAGGTGACGGTAATCGACAGCAGTGGGACGTCGAAACTACCGAATCATATGAACACTACGAGGGATAAACACTTACTGAGAATAACAGTCGACTGACACCCCCGAAGGGGTAGGGGAGGAAGGGAGGGACGTTCGAATTCAAATTGCAACGCTTCTTTCTCCCACAAATTCTGGGTATCGACCTGGTTTTTGTTCCCTAAGTGAGGTCGCATACTGCATCGTTGCCGAAAATTCTTGTTCACAAAAGTTCTCACTAAATTTGTTTATTAACTTATTTTATGTTTGGCACAGTGCTAAGTGTGTGGTGTCTGGGAATGTGTTTTGAGACATTATTGCGGACAATCTATGCATTCTTCTACTTTGGTATTGTTCGAGGGGCGGGCCATTTAAAGAGGATATTGGTTGAGGTCGGTGATTTATAATTATCAGGAATAGAAGTTTCCATAAGGCTACCCGTTGACAGGCCGGTCAGGGGTTAGTACATTTGAATAGGACTGACAGATGCAATCCTAAGTATACCATTCCATGAGTATTGTGAGACCATTTCTTCCATCAAATTTATGTGCGTTTTTGCTGACAATGTAGTTCGATGAGTTTCAGGGTGTCTTTGAAATATCAATGAATGTTTTACGATATTCAGTGCCATTAATCGACTTTATGTGATGTGTGCTCATTGAAACAATTATAGCAAGATATTTATCGAAGGCATCCACCGACTAAGCCGAACTTCAGAAGAGACGAAACAGAAGAATACGAGGCGGGAAGCCACACATAGTAGCGACCTAGAAGTGAGAGGGAATGAGTGCCTGTTGGCTCAACCAGAGAGTCCCAGGAACTCGATGAAGCACAACAAATTAACTCGGGCGGGTTAGTGACAACCGCAGATACACTCGGACGAATTGATGTAAACGTCAAGTGACTGAAGGCAGTCAAACATCATTGTCTGGTAAATCTTCTGTTCGCCGTGTCCAAGCAATCGGGCTGTGACTTAACCGCGAACTAAACCGCGAAAAACAGAGGCAACGGCATAGGTAACACAGACTTGGCAGAACGAACAGGACAATCTGTTCGCCGAAACTACTTAATCAAGTGAACACCACGTGGGATAATCAGCGATGGGATACGAGATCCGATGGACACCGCCGGGGGGGGGGTGGGTGTAGATTCGGACTTTTGGATTCCGATTGCCAAATTTCGCCCTCCCTCTACTTGTGGATGTTGTTCTACCCTAAACACATGCAGCGGAATACTTGGCAAAATGGAACAGGAGGTTCCTCTTCACTAACTTGCTTTAATTAAGGATACCATCACCTTACAACACCTGCGGGTTTTTGAGGAAGATGAAGTTCTCGCCTCAACTGCCCGTTTATACAGCTGATTTGACGTTGGCGGATGCGACCATGACGTTTGGAGATCTCTGACTCACTCGCCCTGCCTTTCTCGCTTTCTCTCAGGAGAACCGTGACACAAAAGAACAAGACATCTACTGGGCGGGCCACTATATTTGCGTGCTTTTGCAAATGGGCTGTCACGTAGTTTTATTATCACCGGAAGTCATCAAATTGCAAGTTCGGTTTGGAAGCACTGGCGAGGAAAGGGAAGGCGCTGTAAAAAAATAAGACAAGATTGTTCTAGAAGGCGGGGAGAAGAACAAGAAGCAGATATTTAGAAGCTGCTGAAATGTAGCGGGGAGGAACAGGAAGCGAGGGCGGGCATGGCGAATAATCCAATAACAAAAACCACAAAGCTTTTATCAAACAGCATCATCTCGCTGTCCCCTGGGGTTCTACTTCGGGATAGATTGGGCAGCCTCGTGCTTCAGCCAGGTTCCAGTCAAATTCCAGTAGGCGACTTCATCCAGAAAAAGTGGGGTTCCACGTCTGAAAAAAGAGAATGCCGGAGATCTATTGGTCAGCCCTTGGGAGGGGGGGGGAGTCGTCAAGTATCGGCGTCACTTTTATTATGGTCATTACAACTAATAAGTAGCACCCGCAAAGGCAGTAGTCGTAGTAAAAAGTCACAGTTAAGCGAAGGGTGAAAGCAGTAGTCAGTTGGCCCCGTGGTACAAGTGGCCTTGGGTTAAATCCCAGGAAGGTACTGATTCCATTGTCCCAAGTTAGGCCCAAACCCTAACGCCAACCCTTGGCCTCCTAGTCCGAACCCTAGCTCTAAACCCAACTCCAGCAATAACTACAACTCCAATGGTAACTTTCCCCCCCTCCCCAACACCGTGGAATTTTGCGCACGCCCACATTTGGGAGATGCAAGAAGTGGACTTGCAGAAGGACTTGGGAGTATGGATTACGACCTCGCTCAAACCCTCGCTCCTCTACACGAAGATAGCCAAGTCCGCAATGTCAGTCCTCTACCTCGTCAAGCGGACTTTCTGTGACTTTGATGAAGACTGATTCGCTAAAGTCTTTCGAACGTTTGTGCGGCCGCAATTGGAATTTGCTATCCAAGCTTGGAGACCCTGGACCGCTAAGGACCTCAACATCCTCGAAAAGGTTCATAGGCGTGCAACAAATCTTGCGACAGGACAAGGTTCACTATCATATGCAACGCGGTTAGCTAACCTTGACCTCTTTCTCTTGAGTTACATGCAGTTACGGGATGACCTGATACAAGACTGATACGCCATCAGGACTGCAGTCTCGGACCCGAGGACTTCTTCGAGTTAACAACAACCACAAGCCATAGAGGTTATCAAATTCAAACTACGTGTGACCGGGGCCAGACTGGACCCACGAAAGTCCTTCTTCTCTAGCAGAGTGCTTGAACCTTGGAACGCCCTGCCTCCCGATGTCGTTATGTCTGCTTCTGCGGAGGTCCTTAAGGGGAAGTTGGATTCGTATAGCAGCGTCCACTAAATTACCACCCGACCTCTGCAACCATGACAAATCCCGTTGTTATGATACTACTCGCCATATTTCGGTAGCATTTTAAATTGAGTTTCTTATTGTCTTCAACCAATCGCCTACGCTGACTGGCATGCACCTTTGCAACTTTTGTCCCTGGGTATATTATTTTCTTTCCTGCACTCGATACGACCACTGTACTACTGCTCGTAGCACTAGCACTCGAGACATTTTGTTTATCTGTACAGAGTTGACGCTTTTCCCATTATTTGTTACCTTCATGATACCTTTTCCAGTTTTTGAGATTTTTCAGTTGCTTATAGACAAATAGGGAGTTCAAAGGTGCAGACCTACATTTCCCTCAATAAACTGAACTGAACTGAACCCGGCACCACTTCAGCATAATTCTGTTCGACTACATCCACCCAAAACTAGTGATAAATTGCCCTAAAAACATGAAGACCTGCACATACACCGAGTGACCGATCTCATGAAACGGTGTCCGAGATTTTGAAATGCGTTCTCGATTTGGAAGGATTACTTAGGTGCGATTGTGATATCTATTATCTTACCGCAAAGTCCAAGACAATTTCAGAGTCGCCAAGCTGTGAATTTTGAATGTACTTCTTTTCGATTTCCTGCAGAAACCACACTCGGCAGAAAATGACTAAATAAACAGCATGCATTTTCCGCATTAATTTTCGATGGTCAAATATATTCAAATATATTTTGTTAAAAAATGTACAAAATATTCTTTGCTTTACTCATTCGGTGGCAAATCACGTCGGCCTTATATTCTATGCTTGAGAACAGAGTATGTTTAGGTTTTAAAAAAGTTTTAAATTATACGATGCTTAAGACCGTGCAATGTACATTCATACAGCATCGTGCCTGTCTGCTTAGCAATGGTCCTCATAAAGTGTATAGCATAGTCCGCACCCATTGTAAAATTTCATTAATTCTGAATGGTATCTTTTTAAAGGCATAGAGGAATAAATTATTTTCTTTACGCGAAAAGCATGAAACTTGTAGACGGTAATCGCTAAATGCTAATGCAACGGCTGATCTGGCTTAAAATTATTAGAGAATTGGAAAACGTTTTTAAAACCTAAATATATTCCGTCTTCAAGCATAAAATATAAGGTCGGCGTGCTTTGCAATCAAATGAGTGGAATAAAGCATATTTTTTGCCCATCCCTGTTCTAACTCCCCTGGAACTTCAGTGCTCGAAAACTATATCCCCACATTCTTTAGGTCTCCTGTCCAGCCTTCTCTTGCTGATTTCCCGTACGTCCATAACTCTAGACTGACTGCTTCTTTCTCTCCAGGCATCATTCATTCACAGCTTACGTATCCGCCTCCAAAGTTCTTTTCTAAATAACATCGACAATGGCCTTGATGTTCGAAACATTAGATATTATATTACTGAATGCCAGGTGTGTTATAAACAAGATGGCCCAAATCAGAGCCATTGTTCTCGAAATGACGCCTAATATTACACGTATAATATAATCTTGGGCCCATTCTCTAATTCCCGATCATTCTCTTTATATAGTTGATTTTGATATCTACCGTCAAGACCGAACGACTAGGCGGGGGGGGGGGCGGTTGTATTCTTTATTTTAAATTCTTCCTAACGCACTCCCCCTATTACTTAAATGCCTCCTCATTCACGGGAAATTTCCAATTTGCATCGATTATTCTCTTGTCGCAAAGAAAGACAATTATTGGCTGTATCTACAATCGCCCATACTCTTCAGCCAGTGGTGATGCACAAATATGTGAAACCTTTAAATTAATTCCGGAAGCTGCTTTCGACCTTATATTTTATGCTTGGAGACGGAGTATATTTAGGTTTTTAAAAAGTTTTTAATTATACGATGTTTAAGACATTCATGCAGCATCGTACCTGTATGTTTACCAATACTCCTCAGGAAGTGCATAACATAGTCCACACCCATTGTAAAATTTAATGAACTCTAAATGGTATCTTTTTAAAGGCATAGAGGAATAACTTATTTTCATTACGCGAAAGCATGCGTTTTGTAGGCTGAAATTGCTAAGCGCTAATGCGACGGCTGATCTGGCTCAGAATTATTTGGGAATTGGATTACGTTTTCAAAACCCAAATATAGTCTGTCTTCAAGCATAAAATATGGTCGACGTGCGCGGTTTCTGCAAGCCGACATCCTGGCGAGTCCGAAATATTGCTAGATTATACCGCACGATAATCAATAATACAACACCACCTAATTAATCCTTCCAAATTGAAAACGCATTGCAGAATTTCGGCCAACATTTCATGAGATCGGTCACTCACTGCACTCCCCCCGGTTCCCATACTGACTGTCTTCAATGAACGAGAAGGCGTAGATCACATCGCCTGGCCATCATGGCGTATGCAGCTGCAACAGCAACCAACTGGTGCTGCTGCCAGCATGCATGGAACAGAGTATTCCTGTTGTCAATATCGTCTTTCGCCCAATGTGGATGCACCTTCGTTCGCGTAATTAGCAATTGAAGGTCGCAGTGACAGAACAGCCCGACATGCGGCGTCGGAAGCCTATCTCGTCGTCTTAAATATGAGACCGAAACCTTCATCCCACAGTAGGCACCAGGGTAAGAGTACATTAAGTAGACGCAATATTGAAAACCTGGATTGGACTGAATGGGAGCCAAATCTCAGTTAAGATAGAAACATTAATTCAAGGTAAATGAAAACCGTGGGGGGGGGGGAGGTTAAGAGAAAAACGGCAGAAACTACAGGTTGACAACCAGTAGGACGTCTTGGAAGTCATTCGGCCTTAACGTCAACGAAATCAGCGCTGATGCGGTGACAGCAATGAAGAAATTCGTCGCAATCTCTTCGATGAAAACCATTTACACAGGGCATAAACGCTGAAGAAAGAAAACTGTCAGTGTAGAGCAGTGAATGTGCATTGGAAGAATTCTGGGCGCTAATTCGATACTGACAACCCTATCCAGGGCAAAAATGACGCGTGAAAAACGAGAAAAACTAATGATTTCACCGTCACCTACCCCTAAAAATCACCAGGTCGCAACCTTCATCCCACAGTAGGCACCAGGGTAAGAGTACATTAAGTAGACCAAATATTGAAAACTCCAAGAACAAATGAGTTCAACGTCACGTACCCCTAAAAATCGCCAGGTCGGCGATAATCTGTATGAAATATAACATTTTGATGTTTTGAGAGGATTGGCTGATCGGCGTCAGTCATGAAAGTGACGTTGATTTCGAGTTTTATTCTCGCACATCTGGTCTATACGAACCACCGAGCCGATGCCATAGAAGCCTTTCAGATTGTCCACACGACGCCAGCAAGCTTTTCCAAAGTCCTAGGCTAACAGACGCCAGTTACAGCCGAGGCAATGGCTATACGGCTAGCGAATCCAAGGCGATGTTATCAGAAGACGTTGACGCAGGCGTTCTGTCTTCCGTGGCTAACCCTGACCCCAGATGGTTATCGCACGCCGCCCCAGCCCCTAATGGCAGCACTGTGTACTCCACGTACTCGAATTAGAAACATCCCTCACAGACTGTCTCACATTCCCGCCTTGTCCCAATCACCATAACACGTCGACCTATTCATGAGGGGGGATGGGAACAAGGAGTGTTAGTAATCATTGTAATCGCCTCACATTTTCGATTTCTGTAGGCCTGGCGATGAATTGACGAAAATATATGTTTGCCAAATTGACGGTTTAACTGCAACATGGAAGTATTCGCAGAAATTAGCCTTAAAGTAAAGTGCCAAAAAATTAGACCCAGCCACCTCACTAGTTTTTCTGCCTCTCAAAGGGCTTCAATATAATCAATCCTAGCGAATTATGAAGGAGTGCTTGAGTTCGGCGTTTCGAAACTATTTAAGCAAGCGATTCTCCAACGGAATCATGCCGCGCACCATGGAAAACCGGTCATTCTGGGAAGCACTTGCCATGACAAATGGGATAATGAGACGGCCTCGTGTGATCAGCTGTGCTGGTGTAAGCCTTCGGTGAGGAGCGGTGTTGAATAAACACAACAGACGGCATGCTGTCCAAATATGCGGCGAATGGTGGCTGAAAGGAAAGCATTTTAATGCCCAGGAAGGGCGGTGTGCTGGCAACCACAGTTGACGCGGACAAGCGACAGTGCCTGGATCTCTTTGGCTTCCACTGACGACTAGCGAGGGGAAAACAGGGGTCATGTAGCAACCAGCACAAACGGAGGAATTTAACAAGGCATTGGCAACTGTCAACGAAAGTGGCTTCGAGGACCTGGGAAATTCGCAATCCTGCATATTGGCCTGTATGAAACCATCGAAATAGACGAAAACGTTGATGCCGGATGCACCAATCAGCCAGGCTTTCGGAAGGTTGCAAAACATTCAGAATCGCTACTACCTTCTCCCAGTTCATCTTCCTCCTCAACATGAAACGAGGACCGGAGCCACGGGTTTAAGATACGGTCACGTTACGCATCATCGTTCATGGAACAGGCGAAAGAAATTACCGAGGATTATGTTTGTTTGCGATTTGGCTCATGTCTAAAGACATTCGACAGGGAAGTGATGCGAAATTAGAGCAGAATGCAAACAGCATTAGGGTCGGTTACGCCGGCGGATCTGATTTCCGTTCGGTTCTCCTTTGTCCTCATGAGTTCCAGGACATTCACAGTCTAACAGTTAATGTTCTAAAGGCAATTTGGAGAGCATACGACTGCTTTCGATAAATTCTCTTCATTTATATGGCTATTGAAGTAATGAATTAAAAGATACGGGCAAGTAGATAATTAAGCTGTAGCTCGAGTTTGGAGAGGGGAGGGGAGAGGAAGAGTGAAGCACCACAATTCCAGTCAGCGCCAGGGAGGAGGTGGGTCCCGGCAAAGGTAATTACATGTGGGTGGCTAGCTTGGTGGCTTTGACCCATGGCAACTGTGGGACCTGTATGAAGTTCTTCTGTGCGCATAGGATCGGTCCGCCTACCTGATTGCGGCCGCCTCTGCCGTAGCCAACAAGCGCTGCCCAAGCAGTTTTGGATAGCTTTACGGGACCTTGTAAATCACTCTGAAGGCCTCTTTGGCGTCTACACGGTGGTCTGTGTCTACCATGTGCGCGAGGATCGACCTGTTGATGTTCCTTATTTGACCCTTTCCTAGCCATGCTGGAAGATGTTCTTTATTTCTTTTGGATAAACGCGACCAATATATTCTGCCCCATAGGAGCAGGTGAAGGAATAAATGCGCATAGAGGTGGTCTGAGCTGGTAGTGTGTCCTTGCCCTCTCCGTATAGGATGAGATTAGTAGAGAACAGTACAAGGGTGTCAGCAGCTGGAAATGTCTGCGATACAGCTTGAGTTATGCGTCTTCTTCTGCTCTACGTCCATCTCTATAGACGAATCGGTTTATGAGTTCATCCGCCTGATGGCCTACCTGGGCCAGCCACTAGGACCTGAGGACCTTCTAATCATGCCCTCAGAGGAATGCGTCCAAAGTGATGACATGAAGGGACCCTACCCAACAAACTCCCCAGCGAGTGGTTCCTCAAGCTCCCTCTCCTTGGCATGCCTCATCACCTAGTGCTGTCATGTAGATCGTCCGGTAGCCAGTCGGATCTTATACGCCCAAACTGCACCGACGTTTTACGACCCAGATGACATTTACACCAACCATTTTGAACGAGCTGCAAATCTGTGTGCCTCCTCTCATTCGTCTCTCTCGCGAGTACGTCAGACTGCTGGCTCGGGAGGCCGAACGGAAGCAAGTTCCGTCTCTTATGCTCCGCTCCTATGCTTCTACGAGCCACTTTTAACTATCCACCAGTTCCTTCTTCCTTAGCCGACTTCTGCGTAGTTTCTTCCGCCTTTTGTCCACTGTTATCTTTGACTGTTTCACCATTATTCACCAGAAGACCCTCATCGTGCAGAGTAGTTGTAAGTCTGTAAGTGAGGTGGAGGAGCTGAAGCCATTTAACTTGCCATTGGACGGTCACGCCAAGTTGGTGGCGGAAGAACGCTTGCCGCAGCGACCCTTCCATGATGAGATCCATACGCGTAACCGTTGTAGCTCTTTGACATGCAGTTCACAACACTTTGTTTTATGAAATCTAAGCCGACAGCGTGCTCAGAACAGCAGGCCCGGTTAGCAGGAGTAGACTGAAGGCAGCAGTGTGCGGGTCTTTATCCTGTGCGACCGTGGTCACCGGCGGGGTCAGGGTGTGCGCTGACGGTGTTAGGTCGTAGCCGAGAGACAGCAGGGCTAGCTGCAGTTTGTGGGGGCAATCTAAAGTATCGTCCAGGTGGGCTGTGTTGCAGTGGCTGGGGAGTGGCATGTTCAAGTGCGACCTGCACGGCCGTGACCGACTGAATGCGCGCATCTGCGGGAGTTGCAGTCGGTCAGACGGTAAATAATGCAACGCTACTGGGACAGCTCACAGCGAAACAGACTGACCTCTGTCACGCAAGGGGACATTGAACACGGCTCAAAGTAAATAAACCGGAAATCGCTCAACCTTCGAAATAGACACACTACTCCCTCATTCCTCCGATTATTCTCTCAATCACTGTCTGCAGGAACGAAAATAGCCCACTATACACGATCTGCTTACGAAGGCAAACATAAGCTCACTACTTAGTCCCATTGGCGAGGTGAGCTCTTACAAAGCAAGCTCGATTGAATTTGGTTTTTAGCCGTACCTGCAGCAGATAAGGCCCAACCTAACCCCTAACACCCAACCTTAACCTCTTGCCCCTTACCCCGACCCCTAACAGGTACGGCTACGAAATAAGATCTTGTCGTAACCGGTTCGCCCGTTGACATTTCTATCTAATGCGCATGAACGAGCTGTACTGGAGCACATTCAAATTCGACGGAGTGGCTACCTAGTGAGGATGACTGACGACTCCCAAGTAAAAGGGAGCCCTCTATCAGGGGGCGTAAAGTGAATAATTGCAAAGGGACAGGAGACGTCGCCATAAGGAGACAATGGAAACAACGGGAACGTCGCCAATTGTTCCGTATTATTGAAGGTTGGTCCCTCCTAATAACCACACACCTTGTTCACGCATTCGTCTCATCAGACATCTTCAGAACCATCCTGGAACAACTGGAGGCCCATTGGCTGCAACCGCAACAGCCACTGACTAGGTCCGTCTCAACCTGATTATACTGCGCCACCACAGTTCGTTATTGTGTGCACCTACTTGGTTACACATGTTTTTACGACAAGCGCTGAATGAACACTCATCACTCATACGACAATCATGCAATGACGTCTGTCAACTCCTTCATGGCTGGCAGCGCGTCGTATGTGCCGATGCTTGCGTACAGCGGGCACCAGACGGGGACATGAAGCCATGTTAGCCCAGCTGCGTCCCATCGCATATACTCTCCGGGCTGCTTGGAGCATGAGAGAGAGAGAGAGAGAGGAAAAGAGGGAGGAGGGTGAGGCCTACCTAACGCTTAAGGTAGTCAGCACAAACGGGCAGACGCAATTCAAAACTTTCATGCGGCAGTAACGGTCGTAGTGGTGAAGGCTGCCAATTGACGTTATACATTAGTTCACTGTGCTAGTGGCCTCTTATAAGTGTTGGCTTTATAACAGCCTCTTTCAATGAGAGATCCAGATAATTTCGTGTGTGATGAGACCGACACGCGTGCGGCACGAGTAGATATGAGTTTAGTCTCTTAAAATACCGCGATCACAGTCATCTCTGGTGGTCTTGCCATATTTTCCCGTCACCCAAACGTGGTGCGTTAAGAGAGCGAGAGAGAGAGATAGAGAGAGAGAGTGACGGACTGAGATAGGCAGGCCTCTATCATACGCAGGTACGCATTGCACCTACAGAATGCTGTGCTCGTCGTTTCCAAGAGACGTTCTAAGGCTTTTAGCTAATACCTGTGTTGTTAGTACGGTAAATAATTACACAATTCTATACTAACGGCTGCCTGTTGGCGGTTTGTGAATATTGCGCGGCTATTCCGCGGTAACTGATGGATTTCAGCTCAAATATTCATATCAAATTTCGGACCGTGCCTGAAAAGGTCTGTTCCAAAAGATTAACTCCAAGCTCGCGCATTAATTTCCTCCGAAATTAAACAGGACAAGTTGAAACTGGAGTTCATATACCAGAAAAGCTGGGGGACTCACTGATGAGCCGAACCACTCGCAGCTGCGTCAGACAGCGGCATAAGATCGGCGGAACACGCGTGCCTGGGCTTTCAGCTAATACCTGTGTTGTTAGTACGGTCAATAATTACACAGTTTTAGGGGTGTTGGGTATCCCAAGGCGGCTTCTCACTGGGGTCGGATCCCGTTACTCCCAGTCTTTCATTTCTGGTAATAAAAGTAAAACTGCAGACGCTCTCATTTGGTTGATACAATTCCCGAAATACCTGCTGTGACTACTATGTCAGCTTAGTTGTCCCAACTGCCTACCCAATAGCACTTATCCTAGAGCAAGGTACATAAGGTACTTTAAGTAAGTGCACAAAGGACTGGGTCATACATCAGGTCGACATCCGGCTGGCCGAGCGCATCTCGATAGACTTCGGGGAACCTGATAATTTGCCGAGCCTGGTCAGAGAGGAGAAGCAGTGCGCCCGACTGCAGCAGAAGGATGAATGCGTAGCCGGCATGATTGCGGCCAACGTGTACCTGCATGTCGAAGATGTGATGCTCCAACCGGAAGGCTGGGCGTAAGACGAGCCTCGACTGTTGGGGTGGTCGCAGTTTCTCATAGGCGAATGATGCCACCGCACCACAAGCTAGGCACAGGCTCGGATAGGAAGGAGTCCTACTCCCAATGTCTTTCTCCCTACGCATGTATGAGGAAGCGGTCGGTTAGGACATAAGAAAAAGGGGTTATTTACATCTGTCAGAATATGCTTGCACGAAGGAAAACAATAAAAATAAACAGCTCTTGCAAACTCTCAGAACTGTAGGTTAAGTTCATATATAATAGTCTGGAAAATCAAAATATCGCGTCCGAAGGCGAAATTAATAAACCTGACGCTCCGGTGACCACATATCCGTCAACAGGGACTCAGGACTTCCTTACTTATAACTTCTTCTTTCCCCATATATACTATATATATTGCAAGGAATGGATCCCCAATCGGCTTCACCAGCCACTGCCGCCGTATGCGCCCAAGTGCACATAAATGGAGGAGAGGCACTAACACTCCAACACCCTCTACCGTATATGAAGAAAGTATCATAAGCATTGGAACGTATCGCTGCAGAGGTTTACGTGGGTATTCCTCATGCGTAACAAAATCATGCAAATGCAGGACCGACTAGACGCAGAAGAGCAAGTTGGTTTTGTTTCTCAGACTCCATGCAGCAACTGTCCTCACCATCATGCAGAAGAGACCGGCCGACGATTAGACTTGCGAAAAGTGGAGCACAAACGGGCAGCTCGGAGAGGCGACCCATTGTTTCGGGTCGCTATTCACACCTCAGAGGAAGACCACGAATTCCACTTCCCGAGCCAGCAATAGGACAGGGCAAGAACTACTGGAGGTCTGGGTTTCTGACAGCAACTTCATTGACAGACACGCTTCGTACTCGCGGCCAAGAGGCGCGATGCAATTCCTAACAAATATGCATGCCAGGCATGCGTGTGACCATCAGTATTGTGGTTAAGACCTCACTCGATCCTATACCACAGGCGATTCGTTCTCGCGGCCAAGAGGCGGGATCCAATTCCTACAGTAAGTGGGCTAACACATGAAATGTCAACCGAAATTCTGAAATGTGTTTTCGGTTTAAATACATTAAGTAAGTTGTAAAACTAACAATCGCGCAGCATTATTTCATAACAATTCAGTTACCTCAGGATGCCAGCTCTCGAATGAATTTCTTTTCGCCTGCATGAAGAAACTACACTCTGTAAAAAATGACCACTTCAGTAGCATGTATTTTCTCCATCAATCTTCGATGCCCTTGTTAAACATGCATAAAAATATTCATTCTTTTGTTTATTCGGTAGGAAATTACAGCTTCTTTCAATTGTATACTCGAAGGAAGGGCATAATTCGGTTTTCAAGGTCGGGTTCAAAATTCTGGGTAATTTTGAACCCGACCTACGGTTACACATGTATTCGGGGTTTAGAACGTACAAGCCATATATTTAATGCGTACGGAAAACCATACGTATTAAGATTAGACAATGTGAGGCTAATAAAATTTAGCAGTGGATTTGAACCATATTGTTAACTTTACAAGCCACATTGGTAAGAAAAGATACCTGGCGTTTCATGAACGGCCATTTCACGGAATTAAAAAATATCGCAATTGGAAAACTTTTTAAAACTAGATTGCACCCTTGCTTCGAGAAACAGTTGGAAGAAGACGTAATCTTCTACCGAATGAGTGGAAGAATGAATATTTTTATGCACGCTTTCCATGAACTACAATAAGACATTTAGAGGCATCGAAAATCAAGGGGAAAATTGCAAGCTATTTAGGTGGTCGTTTTTTTTTACGGAGTACACTTTTTGCATGTAGCGGGAAGGAAGCTCATTCGAAAGCCGGCATCCTCAGGTAACTGAAGTGTTATGGAATTATGTTGCAGGCTGACTAGTTTTACAACGCTACTTAATTAATTTTTTCGAACCGAAAACGCATTTCGGAATTTCGGTTGACATTTCATGAGTTAGCCCACCTACTGTTCCAAATATGCATGCCAGGCATGCGTGTGACCCTCACTTTTGTGGTTAGGATCTCACTTGACCTTATTCTGTCCGAGTAGAGATGAATGATACCACAGCCAATCAACACAAGCTGTCGACTAAAGCCAATAAATTATTGACAGGAATTAAAGGTGGGTATCGATTTTTGGCCATTTTAAAAATGTTGACTGTTTTACATATTTGCCACAAGTCTGAAGACGACCTGAGGAACCAGTGTCGAACATTTACTAAAAAAAATTTGTTACATTTCCCGAAGGACTAATTTCTTTTTAATTACACTTCTTCGGATGCCATTCCTTCAATACATATAGATACAGTGGGTGGGCTAACTCATGAAATGTCAACCAAAATTCCGAAATGCGTTTTTCTTTGGAAAAGATGAATTAAATAGGTTTGTAAAATCTATCATTGCGCAGCATAATTTTTATAATAATCAAGCTACCTCAGGAATCCAGCACTCGAAAAAACTCCATTCAAGCTGCATTCGAAAGTTATATAAGGCAAAAAAGACTACTTATGTAGCATGGATTTTTCTCACTGATTTTCGTTGGCATTAGAAATTCAATAATATTTCATAGAAAACGTGAATAAAAAATATTCACTCTTTTGCATATATAGTAGAAAATTATATCTTCCAATTTTATACTCAAAGAAACGGCATAATTCGTTTTTCAGAAACTTTTCGAATTCCCAAATAATTTTGAACCCTACCTGCCGTTTCACTTGCATTCAGGATTTCGAAACTACAAGCCGTTTATTTTTCGCGTACGGAAAACCATATATTTCTCTATGGTATTAAGATGATACCATATGGGTTCTATAAAATTCAGCAGTGGATTTGAGGTATACTGTTAACTTTACAAACCACATTAGTCAATGCAGATACATGGCGTTTCATGAGCAGCCGTTTCACGGTATTAAAAAACCACACAATTCGAAACTTTTTAAAGACCGAATTATTCCCATCCTTCGAGTATAAAACTGGAAGAGGACGTAAGTTTCTGCCAAAAAAGTAAAAGAATGAATGTTTTTATGCATGTCTTCCATAAATAAAATTTAATTTCCAAGGGCGTCGAAAATCAATGAGAAAAATGTATGTTACATTAGTAGTTATTTCTTACAAAGTGTAGTTTTTGCCTGCGGCCGGAAAGAAGTTCGTCCAAAAGTCGGCATCCCGAGATAACTGAATTATTATAGAATTACTCTGTATGATGATTAATTTTGCAATCTCACATAAGTTACCTTTTCGACACGGAAAAGCGTTTCGAAATTTCGGCTGACATTTCATGAGTTAGTAGAAAAAAGTATGCCATTCGAAAACAGGTGACTGACTTAGAAGTGACGCACAAACCACGCGCGACTACTACAAAAGCTGAGTAGGGTGCTCTCAGGAAGCTTAGTGCTGACACCAGCATCGTGATTCTACCAGCAGATAAAGAGCGCTCCACTGTTGTGATGGATAAGGCAGACTACATGCAAAAGGTCAATGCTCTACTGCATAGCTGACAGGCTTACCGCCCAAGTAACGATGAACGAATGGGGAAGCTGGTGGCGCAACTGGACAAGACCCTCGCCGATATGCAAACGGGTAAGGCGATAAGTAAATCTGTGCCACTGGCCATTAAGCCAACAGACGCGGTCGCACCAAGGTTTTATGAACTACCAAATATAAAAAAAGCCGGGGTGCCCCTCCGGCCAATCGTGTCATTGTGCAGTGCACCAACATTCAATTTGACTAAATGGCTGTTCCGAAACCTGGTGTCGCTCACCTCGAACGCGGCCACAACGTTCTGTTCAGCGACTCCGTTCCTGGAGCGCATCAAGGGGATGAGACCCACCGAAGACGAGGTCATGGAGTCATTCGACGTCACTTCCCTCTGCATATCGATTCTGCAAGACTTGGCAGTCGAAACGGTCAGCGAGCTGCTCGTGCGTCAGTAAGACGAGACAGACGTGACGGTAAAACGGAGATATCTTGTCCAATTGCTGAGATTCTGCCTGAAGACGTACTTTACCTTCGAAGGTACGACCTACGAGCAGATCAAGGGGACGCCAACGGGATCGCCGCTCCTAGGCTTCACGGCAGAGGTAGTTTTCCAAAAAATAGAGACCCTAGTTTTCGCAACCCATAAGCCAAAATCTTGGACTTGATATGTCGACGATACCTTCGTTATCATTAAGCGGTAAATGGTCCAAGCATTACATGATGCCCTGAACTCTGTTTTCCCTGACATCCAGTTCACACTGGAGGCGGAAGCCAACAACCAACTGCTGTTCCTGGACATTCTCCCTCATCGAAAACTTAATGGACACCTAAAGACGACGATATATAGGAAGGCAACTAATACACGCCAAATCCTGAGCTACCACAATAAGCACCCGTTAGGCCACAAACGCCGTTGGGTGCGAGCACCCTACAAAAGTGCAGAAACACGCTGCAGCGAGCTGGAAGACAGAAGGTCAGAACTACACTACCTCCAGCGCCTCTTTATGGCCAACGGGTATCCTCGCAGTTTCATCGAACGCGGCAGACGGGCCGGACCAAGCCGACCTTTGGCGACAGAACGGCCAAAAATAAGGCGGGCGCTCCTTTGCATCGACGGCGTTTCTGAAACGATGTCCCGTCTCTTAAGACTGCTGGGGATCGGCGCCGCCCACCAACCGGAGTCCACCATTCGACATCTGGTCATGAGACCAAAGGCCCCTCTGCCGGGAGCTGAAACCACGAACGTCATCTATCGGATCCAGTGTAACTCTTGCGAAGTCAACTACATTGGGGAGACCGGCAAAAAACTACATACACGTGTTGGAGAACAAATGAGGGCAGTAAGGCAAACGGACCCCTTGTCTCTGGTGGCCGAACACTGCGCCGATTCCAGACATACGTTCACCCTTCAGCATGCCGAAATTCTGGGCCGAGGAAACGACCGCATAGCTAGGGAAACAATCGAGGCTTGGCACACGGAGACAACCTCCGTCAACCGCTACCTACCAAGCCCTTCAGGCTCAGCTCAGTACAAAAATATGCAAACGTGAACCCAGACTAAACATGAATCCAGACATGAGCGTGTCCATGGCGGATACACACTCAGCCATCCCTCAACCTGGTTCCGACGAAGGCGCAGTCGTCACGACAGCCGTTCCATCTACTAGTATGGCGGACGAGAAAACTGATAGTCGTTGCGGCGTAAACAAGTTTGTCAGCTTTGAACGACAGCTAAGGTCAATGAAGGTACAAAAGACGGCCACCAACGTCTCAAAGTCGGCCCTCGATGTAGATTGAGTACATTCCGTCACCCTCCCTCCCTCCCTCGCCCACCCTGGTCCACCACAATCCCTGTATGTATGCCGCAGGTGACCCCTTAGGCTGATCCAACACCCCCTCGTCCGGCGAAAAGACGCTCTAGGACTCCCTCCCTGCCGCTCTGACTTCAGGTGTAAAAAACCGTCTTAACATGACTGTTACCCACCAATAAATGCTATGAGGCGCGATACCACACACCTACGACGATGGAAGCTTGTTTGCTTTTCAAAAGTCAGGACATTAAGACTATGGTTCCGGAGATCACCTTTAGTAAGCCAATCATAACCCTCACCACCAACTGGTATCAGAAACACAAACATGCACATAGACACACCTGGCGCAGTTGGTCCACCACTGGGGTCTACCAGATGGATCATAAGAAATTCATCAAACCGAAGTCCGTCAGTGCCTCGCCAACCATCATTCTCTGTCGCTGCAGATCGGGTATTCACTCACAGATGGCGAGGCACTGATGAGCTTCGGTTTAATGAAGTTCTTATGACCCATCTGGTAGACCCTAATGGTGGACCAATTGCGCCAGGCTTGTCTACACACATGTTTTTGTTTCTGATTCCAGCTGATAGTCAGGGCTAGGATTGGCCCTCTGCCATCGATGGTGCTTGACCGAGCCCATCTCACTGCTTCAATGGCACAGTTTCAGTCGTAGAACTGATTAGGCCAGTTTTTAAGGTCAGGCCGCTTTGTTTCGAGGAACGGCTGCCTAACGGGGGCTGAGCGGGTTCAAACTAGCTATTCCCGTATCCCTGTGTTTGTCATGGACAACGCCAAATCTGTGAAGGCGGAACCTGCCTGTCATCTTAGCTACGGATAACCTGCATCTACGCATATAGGGGATAGTAGAATGGACTTGGGAAAAGGCAAATTGGGAGATGATACGCCCCTGAGGCAAACGTAACTGTATATACGCACCCTGCAGCGGGGTTTGTCATGAGGGTTTGATGGAAACGCCCGTCTTCAAATCCAGAGACCGCAAGGAACCATCTCTCAACCAGGCCACCACACGCAGCCAATCAGCAAGCAGTCATCGACCGATCTACTTTCTGGACGACCAGTCGGCTAGGGTTTGCGTGATAGCTTAAATTACTGACATCTAATGGAACCACAGAGGAACGTATCCCATATACAAAAAGCAACCTTCACGGAGATTACCGCCACAAACAGATATGTTTCCCTACTTAACTACATTAGTAACAACCTAAGTTTATCAGCAATGGTTCCGGAGGAAAAATACCTTAAGTCTCAAAGCTAACGGTTGTAAATACTAAAAGGAATGCGCCCAGAAACTGGTGAAGGTTGAGAGAGAGAGAAAGAGATAGAGCAGGGATTATGATTAAAACATGGCTCATAGATGGATGGAGGCGGAGAAGCGGTGACTGAACTTACTTCCATTCGTCTGCCAGGGCCAGCAGCCTAACATACTCCCGAGGTAGACGAATGAGATGGGGTACAGAGATCTGCGGCTCAGGTAAAAGGGTTGGCACAGTCGTAGTTTGGGGCAGGAAACGCTTCCGCAGACTGACATAGAGGTTCCGACTGGCTGAGGAGCGACCAACAAGACACCACGAGGTGATGAGACGTGCCAAGCAGAGTGGACTCGACGAACTGTGCGTTGGGCATTTCATTGAGGAGGGTTCCTCCATGTCATCACCTTCAGCGCAATCTGTCGAGAGCACGGTCAGGAGGTCCTCAGGTCCCAGTGGCAAGCCCAGGTAGGCCAGCAGGAGAGTGAACTCATCCACCGATTTGTCTGTGGAGATAAACGTAGGGGAGGAGGTGTAACTAACACATAACTGGATAGCCAGTGAACAAAAGATAACTTCAGCTAGCCGGACAAACACTGAGTGCTACTGATAAGCCAAACGAGTAAGCTCTTTTACAGGGAGGGGGCAAAGGATGATGGTGTCAGACAACTCGCCTTCACAGAACACTGACCTGTCGGCAAACCTGTATCCTACTGGTGTTCGTATTCGGATCTTATGGTTTGAGATATGAGTTCAATGGCAAACAGACGCAACCCTCAGTAGGTGGGGTTTGTTGTGTGCTGAATGATGATGTTAGATGCAATAATAGGGTACAACTCAAGCTACAGCCCACGTAGCGACTAAAAGTTAATTCGGTTGAAAACGAACTGTCAGAGAGGGTGGGAACTTAGAATGCTCAATCCTGACGTTTTGCTAGCTCATATTTCGCGGTCAAATGTGAGTGTTTGCATTTGGAAATCTAGGCATACTGAAGCAACCGAAGAATTCCTTCGTAGGAGGAAACTCAACTGTGGACGCAGACTTACGTAACTACCAGTGTAGAACTGGGATCCAGTCTAAGCACGGTCCAACACGGGTACCAAATAGAATTCCACCCATATTTTTCACAGCCGCATAGTGCAGCTACGAGAGGTTCGGATCGAAATAAAGTCACCTACTGTGTAACACGCGGTTTTACTCAGAAAACCCACGAAATATTTTTCTCTCTCTCTCCCTACATATATATATATACATATGGTATATGATATATGCATATGGTATATGGTAGTTAGGTAAGACTGGCTGACGACGCCTAATAAGCTAGAAATGGCCATTCCAGTCTCCCTTGTCTTGGTCGGTAATACCATTCTGCCTATATCATGCGCCGCTGTGCGTCTGCTGGTTGGGCTCGAGAGAGAGCCCGTAAAGCACTACGGAACGAATGAGTTCCGTAAGAACAATCGGTGAGCGCATCCTACCATTGTATATTCACGATTTAAACCGATAGGACAACGGGCCCGTGGTTCAGTGGTTAGAGGTTTTGGACTTCTAACTAACAGGTCACGAGTGCGAGCCCCAGGTGTTCCACACCTCGGGGTTGGGTATGACTGGCTGACGACGGCTAATAAGCCAGAAATAGCCATTCCAGTCTCCCTTGTCTTGGTCGGCAATAACTGTCTGCCTATATATACATATGCATATATTCCAAAGCGGAAAAAAGCAAACACTACCTGCAGACGGCTGGCAGTGCGAGGCGGGCACGTCGATGTTTGTGATCTCCTGCATGATGAAGGCAGCGATGCGCAGGAAGGGCAGACAGGTGGCCCTCAGGTGAGAGAAAAGGCTTCTCAAGGCTGTTGCCGTCGTCGCTCCCCTCTCCTCGCTTTCAGAGGAGGGGCTTTCAGGAGGACTGCCGCAGTCGGACAGACCGCAGAGGAGCCGCAGTCGGCGACGAACATTCAGCAACTAGACGGGAGCCGGGGGCATGGAGAGAACTAAGTCAATTAAGAATGCCCGTTTGTGTCCAAAAAGTCCCCAACAGGAATAGCAGTTAAGAAATTGATTTAGCGCAGAAACTGCGGAACCGAAGGAAGTAGAGTATTCTGGATTTTCTGAAGTTCTTTAGGCGGAAATAAACATATTTCCATAAACCTACCATTAACATTGAGGCATTGTTCAAGTCGCGAAATTTAATGGTCAAAAACTGATTGAAATCGGTCCAGGTTTGCAAACTCCTGCACGCGACCGCAAGTATTTTCAGTGACCACTAGAAACAACGGGCAGTCACGAGACGCAATAGTAGGAGAGAGAGAGAGTGTGACGGGGGATGAAACAGAGTGATTGTAGACGGGAAGATTTTCAGACCTTGGGGACGGATGCGACAAGATTTAGAATGACCTCTAGCCTGATTTAAGATTTTATCAGTTTGCCATAGAACTGTCTCTTGGAAGGAATACTGAAACAGGGCAAACATGTCCCTTGGCATTGAGAAATGCGCTTGAGATTGGTGGTAGGCGGAAGGGCTGTAAATGTCCTAAGAGGCGACAACTGTTCCCATCACTAGTCACTTAAGTCATCCTTCTCCGAGCCGCAGTTCATCGTTGAACGCCATGGTTTCTCAAATGCAAGCAACCGGGTCATTTTCGTCGCATCAAATGCCAATGCCTGAGAGGAAAGTGTTCAGTGTTACTTTTGAGAGGTGTGCGATTGCATATTAATTGCATTCTATAAATAGTCCACTTGCTGTGCTTTCGCAACCTTCGTCTGTTGCCGTCGCAAATGTTGCTTTCAGAAATGAATCAGGAAATCAAGGTCAACCATATTCTCTTTCCAGCTATTAAGCTTCCATATTCGAAACTGCTTTCTATAAGTCGTCCGTTTTAATCCTCATCAAAGCCGTACGTTTTGCACACAAACGGTGTACTTACTGATAATATGTAGGAATAATATGAATTTTACGAGAACACTTCAGCATCGGAACTTCCACAATCACCGCAACAAAAAACCTTGGCCTTCTGGTAGTTTGGAATCCGTATTACCTGACAGCCACACAACAGCACTTAAAAGCTATCAGTTGGTAATAGGCATGTTTTACGGAATGGGTGAAGACGTACGGTTAATGTAAACTCCAAATCTCTTTTGAAACCGACTTTTACTATGTTTTCGAATAACCTAGACCCGATGGAGCGTTGAGCAATTTACTTCACACTACGCGTGGTTGCCAAAGTCATCACGACCAGTTCGGTTTTCTCATACCTTTCTTTCACGAAATGCCTCGCCTTGACAAACAAAAGACGCCTGCGTAAACATTTTTATGATGGAGCATTTTTTAGACTACAGTTGTGTCTAGACCTTCTAGCACGACCTCTAAGGGGGTTCAGGAATACCTTAGTTTCCCACCGAACAGTCGCAGTGACTTGCATGGAAGGAATACTGAAATAGGGCAAAGATGGCTCCCGTCACCGAGATCA